TGACATCACAAAGAGGGCTGCCATGACTGCTGGGCTAAAATGTACAGGCCAGTAGTGTTAAACTCAAACAGAAACAGGGCCACTAAACCACACATAAAGATCCTTGCAGGCTGCATACTGGCTTAGAAAACCACATATTAATATTTTCTATGTTTTATTGTATTTTTATTTTGTTAATTATTTCCTAATTTCATTTGAATCTCATCCAAGCCCCACTAGAGAGTGCTGCAGGCCATATGCTTGATACCTCTGGTATAGATAATTTATTCATTTTTTCTGCATGATTACAAACTAACATGCAGAATATAATGGACTAATTCATAGTTCCTTCAACAGTGTATTAGTGTGTCTGTATTCCCATAGCCCCTCCAACCTTTTCACTGGGAGAGGAGGTGCGTGTCATCTTTTCCAATTTTCAGGGTGTTAGGTAAATCTCTGGAGTTTAAAATTTTTTTCACTTCTCTTACAATTAGTAGTCTTAAGGACATTTTTGAAATAATCATTTATAATTTGTAAATTTTTCTTTTGAAATCTGTTCATATCCTTTAACCACTTATCTATTGGAATGGCTATTACTGTTTGCGTCAATTCCCTATGTAACCTGGATATTATTTTATTTACTGATTATTTGATATTAATATTTTCCCCACTCTATTATTTATTTTCTAATGCTGTCTTCATTGATCTTATTGTGCAAAAATGTAAATTTTCTACAACTGAAATTGTCTAGTTTCTATCTTATGAAATCCTCTATCCTTTGTTTTATTAAGAATTCTTCCCCTAGTCATAGTTGTGAAAGATACTTAAGTTCATTCTTTTCTAAATTTTAAAAAATGATGTAACCTTTTAAATTCAGGTCTCATATACATTTTGAACTCATTGTGGTATATGGTGTAAGATCTTGGTCTAACTCTAATTTCTGCCAAACTGCTGTCTAGTTTTCCAATCAGTACGTGTCAAAAATGTAGTACTTCTCTCATTAATTTGTTCTCGGGGATATCAAATTATTTTCAATTTTTTTACAATTTACAATTATTTTCAACAGCCTTTTTCTTGTTCATTTATCTAGTCTGAATTGATTTTTCTGGTTTTTAATCAGGACCAAATAATTTGGATGATTATTGCTTTTTAATAAAGTTCTAATTAATTAATAGAATTAATAAAATTCCATTCCTTCCTTCATTTATATTCTTTCTAATTATTTCTATTGATATTCTAGACCTTTTATTCCTCATGTGAGGATCCCATGAAATAATGTATGCAAAGCACTTTGCAAGTTTTAAAGTGCCATAGAAAGGTCAGCTGTTTTTGCTCAGGCAGTTGTCTGTAAGGGCTGCCTGAGTCGTGGATGTCTAGGAAGCTGTACCCTGTGCATGCTTAATGGGAAATGGTGCATTCAGTTTAACAACTTCCTGAAAGCAAGAACTGTTTCCTTTGTGTCTTTGTATCCCCAGAACTCAGTGCAGGACCTTGCACTTAGTAGGCGCTGAATAAAGTTTTGTGAATTGAACTGAATTCAATCTGGACCTGGAGGATTCCTTAATGAGGAAACTTTTATTAAGCTTTAACAAGAAAAAAAAAAAAGAAAACATCTATTCCTAAACTAGGGGATTGGGATGGGGAGATGGATTTTTTTTTCTTTAGTCTGCACAGCTAAGCTGAAAATCTGCTGAAGCTTCCCTATTTTTTTCCTGTACAAGCTGAGATCAAACTTTGCAAACTGCCCCCATTGTAAGATAATTTGCACAAAATTGTGAGTTAGTGACAACAGCAGAAGTCTAAACTGTATGATGATGCTAATTATCATTTACATTATAGTCATTCATGTAAAAAAATATTTTTTTTTCTGCCCTAGATTTCTACCAATTCTGAGACCAAATATTAAGTTAGTTGCTCTGTGGTCTTATTAAGGTCAGTAAGAACCCAGTTTGTCATCCAACTGACAGAGTATCATGGAAAAAAATCATAATAACTGGGTCATAGACCCAGATTTGCCACTACTGAATTGTGTGTGATTTGGGGAAAATCACTTTTGATTCTCTGGTTTCAGTTACCATCTCTGAAAAAAAAACATGTGGGGCTTAGATGTAATGCACTGGCTGTCTCCTGTTCCTGGAATGCACTCTTTCCTCACTCCCATTTCTTAGGATCCCTAGTTTCCTTCAAAACTTGAGTTTCAGGAGACTTTGGGGTAAGATGGCAACATGAAAGGTCATAAGGCATAGAGGAGCCCAACTCTCCAATATATACAATAGAAATGACCTAACGAAGGCACAAGATTTAATAATGATCAAGAAATACAAGGAACAACATCAGAGGAAAGAATGACATGGCCAGAAGGACTACAAAGGTATCTGGAAAAATGAAGCAGGAGATTTTTTCTAAATGGAATTACAAGTGAAACAAGAGCTCTGGAATAAAGAATAATTAGAAGGATAGTAAATAGTTTAGAACAGAAGGTGGAAACCCTTACCCAAGTAACAGGACTCAATGACTCCATGAGGCAACAAGAATAGGTGGTAAGGGGGCAGCTAGGTGGCCCAGTGGATAGAGCAGCAGCACTAAAGTCAGGAGGACCCAAGTTCAAATCCGGCCTCAGACCAAACACTTGACACTTACTAGCTGTGTGACCCTGGGCAAGTCACTTAACCCCAATTGCCTAAAAGCAAAAAAAAAAAAAAAAAGAATAGGTGGTAAGGACTGAAGCTATTTTGTTGGTATAGGGAACTCCCCAGATGAGGAAACAAGAATAATTAGAATCAAATCAAAAGAAAATGTAAGGTATATACTATCAAAAACAACTGACCTGGAAAACAGGTTGAGAAATAATTTAAGGCATTGGATTCCTGAAAATCATGACCAAAAACTTTTTTTTTAAAGCCTGGATACCATGTTTCAATAAATCCTAATTGAAAATTGCCTAGATTTACTAGAATCAGAGGGCAAAGTAAAACTAGAAAAAAATCTATCAGTCACCTCCTGAAAGAAACACAAAATGAAAACTCCCAGAAATGGCACAGCTAAAATCCAGAGCTTCTGGGTCAAAGAAAAAGTACTACAAAAGCATTCAGAAAGAAGTATTCAAGTACCAAGGATCAATGAGACTATACTGCAAATATTATAAATGAGAGAAAATCATGGAATATGATATTCCAAAAAGCAAAAGACCAAAGGCTTGCAACGAAGAATAACTTACCCTGAAACACTGAGTATGATCTTATGAGGAAGAAAAAGGAACCTTTAATGGAAAAGAAAACTTTCAAGCATTCCTGATGAAAAAACCGGAGCAGAGTAGAAATACTGAATTGCAAACACAGAAGTTAAAAGAAACCTAGAAAAGTAAAAGCATTTGTGAAACCAGAAGGGGCTTAAATAATGATAAAGTGCATTTATAGGTAAAGAACAGACAAATGACCCTTCATAATCCTAGTGTCTTCAAGGGTCACAGAAGGAATTAAATGAAACAAATGAAGGAACCGAGGTTAGTTTTGTTTTACCTTAAGAGATAAAAGAAAATGGAGAGGAAAAGGAATACACTAGGGAAGAAATGTAGAATAAGAGTGGAACTTACTATTTCTCGTAACTGGGATGCATGAAGAGTATACAAACAAGGAAAAATTGCTGGGGTGAATGGGAAATACATATATTTCACTCCTACAAGAACTGGATCAAGGAGCTTTGAACACACACATATATACACAAAAACACACAAAGAATTTGGTGTAGTGATATACTAATCCCAGGAAAGAAACAGGCAGGCATAGGTAAAGGGGAGAGGGAGATTTGAAAGGGAGGGTGGGAGTCAGAGTGGTAATAATCGTGAGCAAAATAAAGTTCAACTTCAAAGAGAGGATTATAAAGTAAGAAATAAAGTATAAAGCCAGTGTTCAGGGCTGGGGCAAAGGGAAGAAAGGAAGGGAAGTGGAAAGCATATCATTTCAATAACAGATCACTAATGTTGATCACATTCTTTCTTTTTCAGTACTCGTCTTCTTTGAGTGGTGAGCACACAGAGGAAACAGAACTGACTATATCTTTAGAAAAGTCAAATGTGATAGATCTCTGTCAATTTGTGAATGGACACAGATAGGAACATACATATTTCTGAGCTTTGCATGACACCTTTACAAAAACTGACCGTGCACTAGGCCATAAAAACCTCATAAACAAATGTAGAATGGAAGAAATATTAAACACATCATTTGCTGATCACAATTCAATAAAAATTCTGATCAATAGAAGGATTTTAAGAAAGGACTCAAACCTAAATGGAAACTAAATAACAATCCTAAGAAACTGATGGGCCAAAAGAAGAATCAAAGAATCATTAGATAATTTCATAAAAGAAAATGACAATGAGGATGTATCAAAAGTGGCTATTAGCTACAATTTTTTTCACTAAATACTTTCATCAACAAAAGAGGAAAAGAACAAATTAATGAATTGGACATGCAACTGGGGAAAAACACTAGAGAAGCCACAAATTATTATTTTTTAATCAACTAAACACAAAAATATAAAATTTCAAAAATTTAAAGCAAAAAACAATCCACTATACTGATAAATAAAACTAGGAGTTGTTTGGTTTTGTTTTTTTTTTTTGAAAAAGACATAATAACAAACTGTTAGCTTATTTTATCTTTTTTTTAAAGAGAGAATAAAATCAAGTTATCAGTATCAAAAATGAAAAAAAGAGAATTCAGAAAAAATTATGAAGTAAAGGAAATTATTAGAAAGTATTTTCCCAATTATATAACAACAAAATTGATAAATAAAATGGAATAAATGAGCATGTTAAAATACATAAAATACATAGATTCTTGAAAAATTTAAATGCCACAATCTCAGGAAAATAAATTAAACAATCCATAAATGATTTCTGAAAGGAAAAAAAATCCAGGACCAAATGGATTTGCAAATGAATTCTATCAAATATTCAAAGACTATTAATTCCAATATTACACATACTATTCACAAAATAGAGAAATAAAAGATCCTACCAAATTCCTTCTGAGACAAATATGGTCTTGATACCTAAAAGAAGGAGAGACAAAGCAGAAAAAAACTATAGACAAATATTCCTAATTAATATCAACACAAAATACAGAATAAAATATTAACAAAAAGGTTATATAGAAACATGTTAAAAAGTTGGTACAGTAGAACCTGGATTTATACCAGGAATGATGATTTAGTTCAATATTAGGAAAACAATAAGCATAATAAGCCATATTAATAACAAAACAAGAAAAAATTATATGATTATGTCAATAAAAAACTTTTGACAAAATACAATACCTCTTTCTGTTAAAAATATTAAAAATCATAGAAACAAATGGACTTTCCTTAATATGATAAACAGTATCTACTTAAAAGCAAGCATTTGCCTTACATGTAGTGTAGAAACACTATGGCCTTTCCAATAAAACAAGGATAAAGTAAATATGTTTATCATCACAGCTATTATTTTATACAGTGAAATACTAACTATTATTAACAAGATTGGAAAAAGAAATTGGGGGAATAAGCATAGACAAAAAGAAAAAAATTATCCCCTTTTCACATGATATGATAGTCTATTTACAGAGCCCCAGAGATTCGACTAAAAAATAAGTGAAACAGTCACTAACATAAACAAAGCAGCAGTACAGAAAATCAACCCATACAAATCACTTGCTTTCTATATATTATCAACGAAACCCAGCAGGAAGAGACAGAAAGAAATTCCATTAAAAATAACTACAATATGTATAAAATTTGGGGGAATCCTGCTTACCAAGGCACACATAAAAATGAATATGATTTCAAAACACTTTTTACACAAAGACAGACCTAAATAATAGGGTAATTGTTCATAGTTGAGCTATGTTAAGAATGATAAAAATGAAACCTACCTAAACTAATTTATTTATTCCTTGCTATGCCAAATTTCCAAAATGTTAGAGAGCCAAAAATAAAATAACAAAATTCCTCTGGAGGAATAAAAGTTCAAGAATCTCAAGGGAAATAACGCCAAAAAAAAAAAAGGGAGACTGAAGGGAGTCTGGGAGTACAAAGCATCAAACTACATTACAAAGCAGTACTTATCAAAACTATTTGATACTAGTTTAAAAAAATAGAAAAAATGATTAGTGGGACATATTAGAAACATAAAATCCAAAAGCAAAGCAAAATGATAGCACAGTGTTCAATATACCCAAAGTCCCCAATAACTACTAGGGTAAGGACTAACTACTGGACAAAAACCATTAGGAAAACTGGAAAGAAGTGTAGCAGAAAGTGGGCTTAGACCAACATCTCCTATCATATGCCACAATAAGCTCCAAATGGATAAATGATCTAGACATACAAATGGGAGGAATGGAGAAGGAGGTACCTTTTACAACTATGGAGAGGGAAAGAGTTCTTGACCAAACAAGTGTTAGAGAGTATAACAGGAGATAATATGGACAATTTTTATTACATAAAATTGAAAGGCTTCTGCACACAAAAACAAAACAAAAACAAACTTCCCAAAAAACCCAATGCAACTGAAATTAGAAGGGGAATTGTTAACTGGGGGGGAAATATCTGCAGTAAGTTTCTCTGATAACACATTACATACAAGCCATACAGATATCTGATTTTGAAATATAAGAACAAAAGGCATATATCTAAGGCTATGAACTGGCATTTGTCCTGCCTCAGACACTTACTATCTGTGTCATTAGAACTGTCTCAGTTTTCTTATTTGTAAAATTGAAATATATTAATAGCACCTACCTCCAGTGCTATTGTGAGGATTAAATGAGATAATATATATAGTTCTTCATATACCTTCAAGTGTTATGTAAATGTAAATTGTTATTGCTAAAAGATAAAGAGCAAGCTAACAGCAACCATATGAAAAAATGTTCTAAGTAACTAAAAATGAAAGAAGTAAAAATGAAAACTCTGAGGTTCCACCTCACACATAGCAGATAGGCAAAGATGCCAATAAAGGAAAATGACAGTTATTAGAGAGAATGTGGGAGGAAAGGGACACTAATTGGTAGAGCCATGAATCAGTCCAACCATTCTGGAAAGCAATTTGTATTTACGCTAAAAAAAAAAAGTGCATATCTCAAAGAGATAAAAGAAAGAGGGAAATGACCAATAGGTACAAAAATTATTTACTGGCAGCGCTTTTTGTTGTAGCAATTAACTGGAAACTAAGGGGGTGCCCATCAATTGGTAAATGGTTGAATGAATTATGCTACATGGATATAATAGAATATTATTATTGCCTTGTAAGGCATCACAAAAGGGATGAATTCAGGGAAGCCTGGAAAGACTAGAATGAACTGATTCAGCGAAGTGAGCAGAACCAAGAAATTATATAATTACTGAAACATAAAGAAAAACAACTTTGAGAGACTTAGGACTTGGATCAATGTAATGAACAAACCCAACTCCAAAGGACTGAGGACTAAGCATAAGATGGTGGACTGACAATAGAATGGGACCTACAGGGTCAATGAGTCCATCCTCTTTGTTCTAAGGATAAGTGCCTGGGATCTAGGGAAATTATGATTTCCTCCTCTTGACAGAAAGATGGTGGACTAGAGGTGCAAAGTAAGACATACGCTTTGGACATGGAAATGTGTAGATTTGCTTTGCTTGATTTTGCTAACCTGTTACAAGGAAGGATTGTTTTGCTTTGTTTCAGGAGGCAGTGGGGCAGAGACTAGTGAGAGCAATGTAAAAAAAAAAAAAAGGAATAAACAAGAGCATCAATGAAGCATTTAATGAAGATAAACAGAGGAGATCAGAAGGAGATTCAAAGAACAATACAGATAAGCAAGATGATTTTGGAGTAATGCTGAATTGAGTATTCATGGTTTCATAAGTAATGCTCTTTTCCTGTTCTTAGCATATGGAAATCTTTTCTTTTTTTAGTGTTCATCAAGGTCAGAATAATAAAAAAAAATTTTAATTTTATAACCTCAGTTTAAGGGCTACCTTCCTCTTTTCCGATCCCCTACTGCTGCTGCTGACTCCTCCCCACTCACCCTCAGCCCTCAATCCCCTTGTATTTATTTTGTATATATCCATTGTCTTTCCTGATAGAACAGAAGTTCCTAGAAACTCATTTCTGTCATCGTATCTCCCAGGCCCAGCTCCATGCCTGACACACAGAAAGTGCTCAACGAATGCTTACTGATTCATTGATTTATATAAGTCGGGACATTTTATAATTCTAGCTATTTTTTCAACCTTACTCATCACAAGGCAGTCATAGGTATTATGGGAGATACAAAGAAGTTTAAGAAATGCTTCCTACCCTCAAGAAACTTATAGTGTAGTTGGCCAGACCAACACAGGAGAAGATAAATACTACAAGGGAGCACATGATCAATGAGTGGTATCTTCATGGATGTGGGAATTGAATTTCATCTTCCCAAAGGTGGCAGATTATCATCCTTTGAGAATCAATGCCACTTTTGGACACAGACAAAGTTTAATTGTTGCCATCTGGTCCAATTCATATTTGACTAATAATAATGCTTGACATTTACATAGACATACATTGACATTTAAGGTTTGTAAAACACTTAACATCTGTCATCATATTTGAACCTCAGAACAACCGTTGAGGTAGGTACTAATATTAGCCCATTTTACAAATTTGGAAACTGGGGCTCAGAGTTTAAGTGACTTGGTCAGAGTTACATAGCTAGTGTTAAGGTGGTTTCCGAGCCCAAGTCTTACTGATTCCAAGGCTGGTACTTGTTCTATTATACCTCTCTACCTGAAAAGGAATCTCCTCTACAAAATGCTGCTATCTGAATACACCCTGTGATGGAGCCCTCACTACCTCACCAGCTAGCATGACATTGGATTGAATATTAAAACCTAGAGAGTGATGGTATGCCCCATATGCCCCATACACATTGGGCACACAAAAAGCAAACCTGTCAATCACAGATATCTGTCCATCTCTGGATATTAAAGAAATGGAATTTCAATGTTACCAGTTTAACAAGCCTGATCCCTGATAGGCATTCAATAGAAGTTTGTTTAAAAGAAAACATTACTTATTGAAGGGTCACACAATGTCAGAAATGAAAGGGACCCTAGGGATGATCTAGCACCAATGCTCTCCTTTGACAGATGGGGAAATTGAGTCCCAAAGAAGGGCAGCAATTTGTCCAAGGTCACAACCAGGTACATAACAGATGCTTAAAAAATGCTTGTGGTTGATAGATTGGTAGCAATATTGGTAGCAGAGACAGGCCAGTCAGAGGAAAGAATATGTGCTGGTTGCTACTTGGCATTTGAACAAAATGACCAAAGGTAAAAGGTCAAGTGGAATTGCACATTTCCTACTTTGGGGCTTTATTCCAGCCACAGCAGCCATTCCCGTGAACTCAGACTAGGAGAGTGCAAAGGTCTAGGATGAGTAAGAGTAAAGAAGCCCCCAGGGAGAGACTATATGGCTGATGTAAGAGCATCTGCTGGGACTGTACTAAAACCTATCCAGTTATTAGCACCATCAGTTAATGAGATGGCTAAAAGGGTTCTAGAGGCCAAATAAAGGGCACTGCTTCAAGGTGGTAGAAGCAAGCAGAAACTGGATCAATGGGCAATAAAAACCAAGCCTGTCCAGAGACAAAAGGAATCTTTTTTTTTTTTTTAAAGCAGAGGCCTAAAGAAATTAGAAGCCTTGAGTAAATGCAGTGGAGTTTGGCATGATCGATGACAGATACAAAAGGAAGTTTTTAAAAATTAATTTTCCTCTCTCTCTCTCTCTGTCTCTCTCTCACCTTCTCCCTCCCTCTTTCTCGATGAAAAGTAGCTCAAAAAGGCTTTCTGCTCAAGGGAGGATTTGGTGTCTCCTGGGCTCCATATTCATCCCATTGTTCTGCAATTCAAAAACTTTGCTGTTTTCACTAAGAAGCACAGCTGGGGGAGGGGAAGGAGGATGAAGTTAGAACGGAATGGCTTCCAGCAGACTTGTCTTGCATGGCCCATCACTGCGGAACCAGGGTAGTGGATGGAAGTTACAGGAAGGG